GCAGGCCAAGCCCAAAGAGCAAGGTCCCCATAAGTGCCTGACAGAGGCGTAGTCTGTAAGGTTTCAAATGTAGATGTCTTCTTAGCATACGCCAGATAGTGGACTGAGAAATCGTAAACCCACAGCTAGCTCGATTTGTGGACTTCCGTAGATTCCCCTCAAACGCAGCACGGACTCTCGCCACCTGTTCCTACTAAAATAGCAGTCGTCTTGGACAGAATCCTTTACACAGACAGCCGCTCACTTGAAAATGTTTAAACCACCATCGAATATTCTTAAGAAAGAGAGGATTAATGTCGAATTGCCGTTGAAGAGCTCACTACACCGTGACAACCGTATTTGATTTCGCAAACTCGAGAATGCAGAAAGCCTTTTGCTGAGGACTCGCCCTTCCCGGGGGTAGACAAAGGAACTGAACGTTGCCGGAGATACTACGCGACTACAGCTCTCCTGTAGCAGCAATTCAAAACTTAGAAAACTCCTCTTTCAAATGGTCACTGACTCATTCCATGACGATGTTTGAGAACAGAAGCAATACGTCATGAAATCGGTTCATTTTTTTTTAATAACTCTGTATACTGCGTGCCAAAATTATTATCAAGAAAACTTTTTTATAGCGCCAGTTTGTTTACATTGCACAGATCAGTACGAAAATTTCAGTGATTACGCAGGTCAGTGTTGCCAACATTGTGTGAAAATTTTGTGTGAATTGATTGGACGGTTTTTGAAATATTAGAAAAAAAGTTATTTCGATAATAATTTGGCACGCAGTGTATAAGGAATAATACATTTCAATGCAAATATATATGTAATTGTGAAGGAAAAGCATAAATGTCTGGGTATTAGTTATGTTCTCTCTCTCTCTCTCTCTCTCTCTCTCTCTCTCTCTCCCACAGTAAGAAACCCCCGAACATGTTGATTTCTCCAGGGACCCATGACTGCCAATGATTAAGGTCTGGTTAATCACGTGACTCTAAAACGTGAATGCTATTGGCGAATAAAAACGTGATAAGAGCCGAACGATTTCCAGACACTGAAATTAGGTGGTCGTATTTTCTTGCTAGATCAATGGCGGCTCTGTACGACGGTAACATCTCATGAAACGAAAGCGGTTCTGATGGATGAAAGAAAAGAAAAGAAAAAAAAAAATGCCAATGAAAGTGAAAAACGAGGAGAAGAACCAAAGACATTTAGGTTGAGGAGAAAAAAAAAACAAGATGAAGAACCCGCTAAAAAGAAAAAGAATTTTCCCGAAACAAAAGCAAAAAAAAAAAAAAAACGTGGAAGCCATTCCCCAAAACATGGAGGAAAACAAAATTTCGAGATGATAAAAGAATAATAGAAAACATGGTAGATATGAATTAATTAAAAAAAAATGTATGTATTAATAAAAAAAATAAGTTAAAGAAAGATAAGCAAGAAAAAGGAAAAAAAAATGATAACACAGAAAGAACAGCCCCTCCCTACGAGGAATGTATGTGACACAAGGCCGAGTTTACAGTGGGTTCTCCGAGCCCGTAGGCTCTGCCAGAAATATTCCCTTTGAACCCGTATAAACGGGTTCAGGGTCTGTCCAACTCCCCGGACGAAACTGTCCTTCGCCAAAGTCTCGTCCGCGTTTCTGTCTGCCGCGGCATAGAGTTCGAACGTCGAAGGCACCATTTTTTTTTTTTTTTGCATGGGGCATCCTGTGAGGATCGAACTCACTATTCAGTTGTAACTGTTTTAGCGAGACAAGTTTGTTAACCATTACACCACACCGAGGTACCCAAGAATGGATAGTATTGTATTCCTATGCAAATATATCTGCCATATAAATAGCAGTTGATACAGATGGGGCTAAAATGATACAGATATATATATATATATATATATATATATATATATATATATATATATATATATATATATATATATATATATATATATATATATATATATATATATATATATATATATATTTGGATAGATGTGAGTTGTGAGCGTGAAAGAAAGAAAGAAACTCACATCTATCAGAAAATATGTTAGCTCTATCTCTGATATTGAGCGTTTTCTAATAAAGTACCGCATATATAATATATAAATAATTATACATATATATATTTATTTATATTTATATACACTTTTCACACACACACACACACACACACACACACACACACACACACACATATATATATATATATATATATATATATATATATATATATATATATATATATATATATATAAATATTTGGGCAGCAATCTCTCTTTTATTCACGGTTCATTAAAGAAGATTGACAAGGTATTGTGATTAAGGTTTTTATCCAATTTTTGTATTCGTACAAGCGTTTTCTTTTCTGGACATGAATTGTGTAAAAAAAACATCAAAATATTGTATATATCCGAGCGCTTTCAGCTTTTAAATTAGCCATTATTAAGGCTACATTTTAAAAAAAGAAAAAGAAGCTTAATTAGTTCTGATTGAGTAGCCGAAAACTCTCAGATATAAAGAACATTTGAACCGCTTTTAGACATTGTATGTCCAGAAAAGAAAACTCTCATCGAAGCACAAGAAAAATGGAATAAAATTATTAATCAGAAGGCCTCAGTCGTGTTTAATGAAACCGATTTTGCATTGGCTTCCTCGGATGGATAATGAAAAATGGTGTGTGTATGTATTTCTGTGTGTTTAGCACTTTTTTTGTTATCCATCTGAAGAAGCCAGAGAAGCGAAATGTATTATCTGATATTATTTTCGTAACATACTTTGTTATTCTAATAATAATATATTAAATGGAGCATTACAATTTAATTAATATTATAATTTCATTAATAATATAAATTAATAAATGCTATAAAATTTAAATAATAATAAAACCAACGAAACAAACTTCAATTTTAAACATAAATAGATAAAAAAAATATTTCTAATTTCAAAGAAAAATTTACAACCGGGAGAAAAATTCTACAAATAGAAACATTTATGAAGATTATAAATAAAAACGTAAACAAAATCAGAAATCCTTAAAAGTGTGAGTGTAAAAAAAAAAAAAAAACGACCGCGTGTAGAAAATGCATATATATATATATATATATATATATATATATATATATATATATATATATATATATATATATATATATATATATATATATATATATATATATATATATATTATCTAAATGAAGCGGAAAAAATTGGGAAAAAAAATTGGAAATATGACCATTTAAATACAGGGTGTCCCAAAATAATGTATACACTCTTTGAATCGTTATAACTTTTTTCAATTTATGTATTTTGACTTGTAAATAAAATTAATACAAGAGAAAGATTACACATTTAAAGAATTTGAGAGTAAAAAAAAACATCGACAATTAACTTTAATAAGTTAAAGTTACTTGGGGCAATGGCAGAATGTTCATATAATGATGAGTTCACATCAAATGCTCAAAATGGTTGACGTTCTGTTCAATACACTTTTCATATCTTGAAGAAATAGACCTACAAATGTCCAGTATCATTTCCTCTGGTGTTTGAGCACATTCTTCTTCAATTGCTACTCTCATTTCAGCAATTGTTTCAGGTTTCCTGATGTAAACTTTGTCTTTTAGACCCCCCCCCGAAAAAAAAAGAAATCCCAGGATGTCAAATCTGGTGATCTAGGTGGGTATTCAACTGTCCCTCTTCTTCCAATCCATCTGTTTTGCATATTTTCATCCATATAAGTTCTCACATCACAGTAATGTATTATTAATTATTAATATTCAAAGAGTGTATACATTATTTTGAGACACCCTGTATATAACCCCACTGAAGAATGGTTGGTGCCAAGAAAACTTGGAGTCTGGGATACAACAACTAAAAAGGATTTGATATTTACAGTTAAGGTTTCGGTTGGTTGGGTTTTATGGCATATCAACCACTGTAGGTCATTAATGCCATATTAAGGTTATATATATATATATATATATATATATATATATATATATATATATTAAAGACATTTTTATGTTTAACGTTCCTTTTATAGATACAAGTATTTAAGTAAATGCTCTGTTTATAATAAACAGTATTAAATAACATTTACCGGCCTGAATGTCCGAGAAATTTTCATAGAAAATATTCGTCCTTTGACAGGATTCGAACCTGCATCCTATACTTAAACATTTACTTAAATACTTGTATCTATAAAAAAGAACGTTAAACATAAAAATGTCTTTAATAAATAAATTGTCGGACTTTGTCCATTTCTTAATATATGACGTCATTTGTTTACATTTGATACGCCATGAGCAGTTATGAATGTACGAGATTCATGGAAGATTGAAGTTTATATGCAGTAAATTCGACCTTGCCTACCGGACGCTTCGTTAAACATAAAAATGTCTTTAATAAATAAATTGTCGGACTTTGTCCATTTCTTAATATATATATATACACTACAATTAAACGTATAGCTGGCAACATTATTTTTTTCCAAAAAAACGTATAGCTGGCAACATTATTTTTCCGAAAACATTATCTGAGGCCTTGTTGTTGGGCGTAGTTTATCGTCATACACAGGACGCATATTTACAGTTAAGTAAATTTTAATATTATGTACATAAGAGTGTATCCGTGTCGCCAAAATTGACAGCAAGAAGGAATAATATGTATTAAGTAATTATCGTTTAATCCAAGAACAATTTAGGAATTTAAAATAATTATTAAATATAATAAATTTATTAACGTCAGTAATTGAACAGTGTGCGATTTATAAACACCCCGGAAAAGATATCCGTATTTTATCTTCATTTTGTGCGTGTGTATAGGTTTTGTACGCGCGGTTTTGTCACGTATCTTGGGTGTTATTGAGAGTCAAGTTTGCTGAAAAATTAGCAAATCATCTCTAGTGATAGTCTGTCGCACAAATCAAAAGACACCTTGAAGAAAAGTAACTTTATGTGAAGTGTAATTCAAGCTCAAATAAAATATAAACCTCGGCCAACATTTAGCTGACATATATGTCAGCTAAATGTTGGCCGAGTTTTATATTCTTTCTATCCCTTTCACTTACCTCCCCCCCACTCTGTCTCTCTCTCTCTCTCTCTTTCTTTCTTTCTTTCTTACGTTCTTTCTTTCTTTGCAGTTGCGTATCTGTTTCTTTGCGTGGCTACTTTCCATCTATCCTTTCGCTTTGATCGTGGTTCGCAAAGAGAGGAAAAGAAGGTGGTTTCTTTGTAGTCTGTCAGCGCGGTAGCTTTTTTTCATGTGGACGTAAATGGGGTCATGACATCTGTGCGTCTCACGTCAAAATTTTGCACACTTTCCCTCAATTATTATAAGTCCCCCCCCCCAATTATATTATGGCTTTACATCTCACTTGTGCCATTCGCTTTCATTTATTGAACTGTTTTAGAATCCGTCTGGTTCAGTGACAAACTCGGCCCCACTCCACAAATTTATCAGTCAGAGGCATAAATCTATTTACCAAATTATACATCTTTCTAACGATGTTTTATCTATCTATCTATCTATCTATCTATCTATCTATCTATGTCATTCTGTTCGGTATCAACCACATTCCGTAATCTATCTATCTATCTATCTATCTATCTATCTATCTTTTCTATCTATCTATCTATCTATCTATGTTAATCTCTTTCGTATCAATCACATTCCGTAATCTATCTATCTATCTATCTATCTATCTATCTATCTATCTATCTATCTATTACTTTCTTTCCAGTATCTATCTATCTATCTATCTATCTATCTATCTATCTATCTATGTATGTTAATCTCTTTCGTATCAATCACATTCCGTAATCTATCTATCTATCTATCTATCTATCTGTCTATCTATCTATCTATCTATCTATCTATCACGTTCTTTTCAGTATCTATCTATCTATCTATCTATCTATCTATCTACTATATTTTGACGAAAGGATCCTTACTGCCAAGGAGAACATGGTAAGAAAAGCAGCAGGTGATATGAAAGGAACCTGTGATATTGATGTCACTTTAGTCTCTCTTGCTAATGACATTGTCATTAAGATGTCAGTATCTCTCTCTCTCTCTCTCTCTCTCTCTCTCTCTCAATATATATATATATGTTACAATCTTTTTAGTATCTATCTATCTATCAATTATTTTCTTTTCAGTATCTATCTATCTATCTATCTATCTATCTATCTATCTATCACATTCTTTTCAGTATCTATCTATCTATCTATCTATCTATCTATCTATCTATCTATCTATGTATGCACTGTATTTCGACCAAAGGAAGCTTTACTACCAAGGAGAGCATAGTCTGAAAAGCAGCAGGTGATATGAAAGGAATCTGTGATATTGATGACACTTAAGTCTCTCATCTTGCTGGTGACATAGTCAATAAGGTGACAGTATCTCTCTCTCTCTCTCTCTCTCTCTCTCTATATCTATATATATATATATATATATATATATATATATATATATATATATATGTTACATTCTTTTTAGTATGTATCTATCTATCTATCTATCTATTACTTTCTTTTCTCTATCTATCTATCTAGCTGCTTTATCTGAATAAAGCGCCAATTATTATTGAAGACATAGATTGATAGATAGAGAGATGAGAAAAGACTGAGATAGATAGATAGATATGGACGCGAATGAAAAAGTAGATAGATAGATTGATACTGAAGAGAAAGAGAAAGATAGATATGAAAGAGAATGAGACCGACAGATAGATAAGAGAAGAGATAGATAGATAGATAGATAGATAGATAGATAGATAGATAGATATTGAAAAGAAAGTAATAGATAGATAGATAGATAGATAGATAGATAGATAGATAGATAGGATCCTCCTTATTGAAAATCGGGATTGTAGACGCCCAGTTCGAATATATATCGACCAGCTAATAGAAGATGCACATCTGTGAATAACCCAGTCGCCGAAAGCTGTAGAATATTGTGAATTACGGAGCAGACGGGTGGTGGATTTCCACCGTTCTTTTGTATTTGTAGAGATATAAATTTTTCGTGTGAATAGACATCCCGACAACCGCTCAAAAATTATCACTTGTGCTCATGCCGGGCCAATATTACTTACGGCCATTCGTCGTAAGTAATGTTTCCCAAATAGGTTCTGTGCAATTTGGGCCACTTTGAAAATGTTCTATTCTTCTGAAATAAGTTACCCTTATTTGGGGGAAATGGAGCCTGTATTTATTCACGAAGCAGTGCAACATACCAATCATCGGACAAATCATCAGACCCAACTATCGCCATATGTACATAATACGCATTTATACAACCACCATTACCCTGCATTTGAAGATTCGTCTCCAACTAAGATACTCGAACTCTCTGCCTTCGGGCAGAGTGGAATCCATACGAGGCTATGCCGAAGGGCAGAGTCTCGTCTGGGGTGGTAGACTGCTACCTGACGCCGTTTTTACGGGGTCAAAAGAGGATTTTTCCACGATCCCAGGGGTTCGGTTTTAACCCCGCATTAAAAACGGCCTTGTGCCACATCC